GGCAGTGTGGTATATGGCTCCTGCTAGGGTCCATACCTCAGCCCAACTCACTGCTTGTGGCTCAGGCCCTAATAGAGCCTGAAGTAAGAGTGCAGGCAGTCCCAGCTTTGCAGAATCCTACTCCAGGGCTGGGTACCCACAGCCTGTTTTGTTGTTTTCTTGTGTGTCTCCTTGCTAAACTGACATTAGTAGGTGCCTCTCTTCCAACAATGCTGCTTCAACACTTGCCCCCCAGAGCACAGCTGCTTCTGCCTGAGCAGACCAGCAGTGTCTGTGTTGTGCTCTTGCCTCACTCACTCTTGACTGCATGGCAGCCCTGCTGCACTAGGCAGTAATGGTGCTGCAGAGGTGCATGAAGAAATGTCTGCTGAGTCTTTAACAGCAGTGAGCATCTTGACATGCCTTTCCTGAGGACTGATGGAGCTAGTTTTCTTCTCCCCCAGGACCTGCCTTGCTGGCAATGTGTTATTGCTTAACAAAGGGGGAAGCCTTTCTTTGAAGATCTTACTGGCTGGTTTTTGCATAAGGCAGAGGAAAGCTCAGGGTATTGAGCCTGTTTGTAAAGGGGCAGACTAAGGGGGTTGGCATCTAGAATCCAACCACTCTCCCAAGACCTCACATATGGTGGAGCTGCTGTCTCTGTTCTCACTACCTTAGCTGCATGTGGATAAGACCTGCCCTCAATTAGTTGGTAAAAAGCTAAACCCTTCATGCTCCCTACTGCCCATGGCACTGTATCCCCCTCTCCTTGGCTTTAAGCCCCTAAGCTTAACACCGAGCTATGCTGGCAGGGTTTTACTCCTGCCACCCTCCTGGTGCCTGTTCCTTGGCTACTAGCAGAAAACACCCTTTGCAGACACTTCTACTGGATGGCTGGCACCAAGCTGACTTGAATTTTGCTGGACCTTTATTAATGGTGTTGGGAAGAGAGCTTATTTTGGCTCTGAGCCCTGTGCAGAGGAGCAGAAGATCTGACAGTTCCCAAAGCTCTTTGGCTCAGAGATCTCACACGGAGCCTTGATTCCCCCTACAGGCTTTAAAGGGAGGCTGTAGCAGGGGCACGTTACAGCCCAACCCATGACAAGCTGTGGACCCTGTGGGAGCTGCCTACTTCTCTGGGGGTCTCAGCTCAGCTTTCTGCTTTGTGTTGGGAGGTGCCAGCAAGCATGTTGCTGGGGAGCTAAAGGACAAGCTCCTTGCAGCACTGACAACCATCACAAACTGGGACTGGATGGGGCGGGACCAGAGACAGTAATTCATACCTTACTGTGGCAGCCACTTGCAGGGCAGCCCCCCTGGGACTGCTACAGGAACAGCAGCCAAGTAGGTTCAGTTGGGGGTCCCTGAGCACTGCAGACATGCTTTCACATACAGCTGCCTCCTCCCAGGCCCCAGCCAGTTGCTTGCATGGGTGGTTTCTCCATAGACAGTATGTACCTGTTTGCCTTCTGTAAGCAAATGACAGTGGCTCCTCTTGCCTTTGTACCACCTCAGGGCCAGGATGCAGGTGCCAGCTTAGCTCTGGGGTCTCACTTGGACCTAGCAGGGGCACTATAATAAGTAACTTGCTTAGGAGCAGAAGCTGACCTAGGATGCCCTTGGCAGATACTGAGGTGATGGGAAGTCTTGATGCTAGTTGCTGCCCCTTGCTGGGATGGCCTGATTTCCTGGTGCTAAGGCAGGCTGCATGCCCTCCCAACCCCCCTTCTCCCTGCCTCCCCCAAGACCATATTGGTACATACAACACTGCAGGGCCTGTTCCAGGCATAGCCCAGTCTGGAATTTGCCTTTCAAATGAACAGTAGCAGGGTGAAGACCCTCTGCTGCCATGAAGAGCAGACTTGTCAACATTGGCTCAGTTTACTGGTCCCATCAGAAAACAGGAGTAACGTGTGCTGGGGGTAGTGGGATGCTGTCAGAGAGTGAGATATAGTGCTTCTTTTACATCCTGGGAAGTGCCTGCAGTGCTGGGGAGGCTGGGGACAGACCCACTTGTCAAATGGTTCCTCCCCACACAGTCCTTAGGGAGCTGGAAGAAAGTGAAGTTGCAGGACTGAATTGCACTTGCCTATTGCTAGATGGAATAGTCTAGTGATGGGTGCAGTTGGGTTGGACAGCTCTGTGGGTCATTGGGGCAGCTCTTCCAGCTAACCCAGGCCTTTCTCAAGCTGGATGCACACTGAACAGCTGTGGGCAGGGCGGTGGCTCTAGGGCTGGCAACACAGCAGAGAGGTGACTAGAGAAGGAGCAGTTGCTGCTAGGCATTATTAAGGTTCTGCTACCCAGAATGAGGAGCTGGGAAATCCCTTCAGATAAAGTCTGGGCTGCATTAGTAGGAGTGGTGCCTGCAGATCAAGGAAAGTGATTCTTTATTGAGCACTGGTGAGCCCATATGTGGAGTAGTGTGTCCAGTTTTGGGCCTCCCACTGCAGAAAGGATGTGGACAAATTGGACTGAGTCCAGCAGAGGGCAATGAAAATGGTTAGGGGCCTGGGGCACATGACTTATGAGGAGGCTGAGGGAACTGGGCTTATTTAGTCTGGAGAAGAAGACTGAGGGGATTTAATAACAGCCTTCAACTCCCTGAAGGGTGGTTTTAAAGAGGATGGAGCTGGACTGTTCCCAGTGGTGGCAGATGACAGAACAAGGAGCAATGGTCTCAAGTTGTAGCAAGGGAAGTTTAAGTTAGATACTAAGAAAAACGTTCTCACTAGGAGGGTAGTAAAGCACTGGAACAGGCTACCCAGGGAGGCTGTGAAATCTCCATCCTTGGAGATGTTTAAGACACTGCTAGACAAAGCCTTGGCTGGGATGATAGTTGGGGATGGCCCTGCTTTGAGTAGGGCGTTGGATGAGATGACCTCCTGAAGTCCCTTCCAACCCTAATTTTCTATGATTCTATGAATATCAGCCCAGAGCTGGCGGAAGTGTTAGGCAATGGCCAAGGCAACCTCCAGCACCATGGGGCATTCCCCAAGTAAGTGCAAGGTGCAGTGAAGGGACCTGGGGCTCTTCTAACACGGGCATGGGAATGGAGGAGGCCAGGAGCAAGGCCAAGAGCTATCCCTGCTCCCACACCACCTCCCCTGCCCAGTCAATGGCAAAGCTCAGGCCTCTGCTTAATCCTCCTTTGGACTCCCTGCGCAGTGTCAGCTCTGCACAGCTCACCTCTCAGGCCAAAAGGGCAAGGAGCAAGTATGTGCCCTGGCTGACCTAGGAGCACAGCAGGGAGGAATGCAGTTCTGTCTACCCCGATCCTTCCCATGCAGCAGTGCTGGTCCTACCTGTGGACGTGCACTCCATGGGCACAGGGACTGCTGCCCTGTCAGCCCAGCCTCACAGGAAAACACTTCCGACCAGCACAGGCAGCGGCAGAGAACCCAGCCCTGCAGGAGCCAGAGTGGAGGGAACATGCCAGGAGCAGCCGCTGGGGAAGGCAGCTGGGGAAGAGGAAGAGAAGCCAGGGCACTGCAGGAAGTGGTCACAGAAGCGTCAAGGGATGCCAGGTGTGAGGGACACTGCAGGAAGCATCTGCCAAGGAGACGGGCATGATGCCATAACTGGCCAGGAAAAGGAGCCAGCAGAACTGCTGAGTTATGAGTGGCCTGACAGGGCAGGTGCTAGGGACACAGATGTTAGCTGTGCCAGCGAGGGCCCAGAATTGACTGGGGGGGTGGTGTTGGTTAGCCAGCACCTGCCCTGAGAACCCAGCATTGCCCTGTACTGACATTAGCCCTGCTCCTTGTTCTCAGGGTGCTCCCTTGGCCAGTGGGTTCAGCTACCACGTGCCTGGCTGCATGTTAGAAGACTGGTCAAAGCAACCTGCACCTGTGCCTATGCCATCTGGCTCCCTGTGTTAGAAGCAGTGCCAAGTGTGTTCTGCCCTCTCTGGATCCCAGTTCCCCCAACCCCTGGCATCTCAGGTCCCTGCTTTGTTGTCTCCTCCTGCCCTGGCCCTGGCTCCCCGCACTGCCCACCCTTCTGGCCTGGTGCAGCCCCTCTCCACACAGACGTACCGCACCACACACACAGTTACAAAACGATCATGCATTAGAAACTGAAATTCTGCTGGGAGGGCTCCTGGGGGCGCTGAGGCTCGGCTCCCTGCAGGGCGGCTGCCCGGGCCCGGCAGTTCGGCCTCACTTCCTTGGACTCTTTGAAAAGAAAGAGTCTGGGCTTGGGAAGTTCTATCCGAAAATGCCGCCGAAGGTGGAGGCGATGACAATGCCCAGCACCACGCAGCAGATGATGATCATGATCTTCTTCTGCTCAGGCCCATTCCCGCAGCACCAACAGGGGAGAGAAAGGGAGACAGTATTAGTTAACAGCAGCACACACACCCTAACCCTCCCCTGCTGGGGACCCGACTCCACTTGCGATGGGCTCTTTGCTGTCTCCAAGCTCTCTTCCTTAGTTTGTGTTTCTTGCAGTACTGGGTGGTGGGGCTCCACTTCAGAACATGGAGGCCTAGGGCACATCATGGACGTGAGGCAGAGTCCCTGCTGCCATCTGGAGGCATTGTTTCCCAGGAAAACTCAGCATGTGCTGAGCGCTGACTCCAGCACTCAGGCCCCCTGGAGCTGACTGACCAACTCCATGGGTTCCAATGAGGGGTCAGATGAAGGCTTGCCCTGCCAAGACACAGCCCAGTCCCCTGCACAGCACAGTCAAGTCAGGTCCCACTCCTTTCCCTCAACCTGAAGACACCTTTGCTTCTGGTTTGGGGCCCAGCATAGGCAAGAGCTGTGATGCCTGGACTATGGCACCAGGGGGAACTCTTCTCCTACACTCCCCACCAGCTCAGCACTAAACAGGCAGGGAAGGGCCACAGGATTCCCAGCCAAGGAGAGTGACAATATGCATAAAAAACTAGTGCCAGCTGGCTGGCATTCTGCTCTTCTGCACATGCCCCCCACTCCTCCCCACCGGAGCAGGCTGACTCCACACACCTTGCAGCCAGCAGCCGGAACACCCCACTGAGATAGCTGCTGGTAGCAGGGACAGGCCACTGGTGTCTACTGGGGACAAGGGCCAGGGTTCACTCCCTGCTGGGTGGGACAGTGACTGGCTCACACCTGGAAGCCTGGAGAGCTGGTTCATGCTCCCCAGGATGGCAGGGGGCATTCTCAGCCAGCAGGTGACAGGGTGCAGGGTGCTGCATGCCCATGGCTGAGTCCAGGTGATCACAATACTCACCCGTCGGGCTTTGCTCTGGTACTTAACAGCTTTTTTGGTATCAGACACAGCCCTCTCCACATAGTCCACGGAGTGCTCGACATTATACTCGATGCGGTCGATCATCTCACCCTGTGTGGCACAGGAGAGAATACGCGCACACACACACACGTACGCACTGGTGTGAGCTCCAGGCACACTCCTCCGGTTGCTCCCATTACCTGCTGCTGTCAGGCTGCAGAACGTGCTGCCTACCCTAGGGTTCGCCTTGGCACCTCACAGACTTCGGTCTGGCCACAGGGGCTTCCCATTCCAGTATGGTCACTGCTGCCCCTAGCACAGGGGAGAGAGACAGAGGCAGAGAGAGAGAGAGCCTGAGTGTTCATCCCAGCCTTGCACTCAGAGCACAGGGCTGCGCTAAGGTTTCTTCTGGGAGCAGGCATTGAACCCCAGGACATTTGGGGAAGTAGTCCCCATGGCACACAGGGAGGTTTGCATACCACCCGCAGGTTTCTTTGTGCCCCCAGCACTCTGGACCCTCCAGCTTCTCCTTAATGGCCAGACCAGGGCAGTGTGGAGTTATCTTGTTCAAGGGAGGTGGCTTGTTTGGGGGGTGGGAAAAGGAGGGGGTTGCTCTCTGGGACAAGCCTTGGCAGCAGCCAGACTACACTGCCCCACACACTAGTGCATGGAGTGATTGTTCCTGGCTGCACTATTCCTGCTTGGCCTAAACAACAGACAGCCTTGGAAGCTGTTGGTTCCTCCAGCCTGGGACTGTCTCGTCAGTGTAGGGACCCTTAGGAGGCCATGTCAGGTTATGGCATTGGGGTTTGTCATCAACGACTGAACAGGAGACACTGAAAAGCAGGGACAACTAGTCAAAGCCACCAGACAGCATGGACCCACGACATCAGACCATGACAGGACAATCACAAAGCTACAGGCATGCACGGACAGGGATCCCTGCTGCTGCCCCCAGCACACCACCGGCATGCATCTGCCAGGACTCAGGAGCCAGCTACCTTCTATGGAGTGCTCTGCACCACTGCTGAGTCCTAAGGCAACTCCCCAGGTCAGGCCCCAGGATTAGGGGCAGCAGTTCTGTGTGCCATTCAGACACAAGACTGAGGGGCACTGAGTAGTGTACCACTTCCAATACCACCAGTGCCAGCCTGGCCCCTGCCTGCATGGCAAGTTTCCGCTCCTGCTCCCTGCAAAGGGTGGTTACTGAGGTAGCATTTGTTGGCCAGGGAACAGCACGGACACGTGGCAGGTTTCCTTCCTTCCCCTGTCTCTGGCACAGCTGGAGGGGCAGGCTGTGCCCAGGCAGAGCTGTCCGCAGTAGATGTCATCTGGGTCATTGACTTTCTCTGCAGGATCAGGTGCTGGCCTGTTCGAGAGGCAGGTTCGAGTCCCACAGGGCCTCGTGGTTCTAGGGAGCCGTGTGCAGCCTGGGGCTCTCGCCCCTCAGCCAGAGGCTGCCAGCGGTGCTGTAATCATGGCTCGCCATATTGATGAACACACAGCCACTGACAGGGCTCAGGAGTGAGGCTGCCAGACCAGTAGCCAGCAGAGGAGTCACCATGGTCCCTGCCTAAGTAAACGGCCTCAATAGCAGCGTAGCACAGGATCTGCTTGAAGGTGGAAAAAACCAGCATGAAGGAGAGACACTGACAATCTGTGTTCAGACAGGCTCTGAGCTCAGGATGTGCCTGGAGGGGCTGACTGAACCCTATAAGCATTGAACATGATCTCACCCTTTGCTCTCCCGTACAACATCTGGGCCACCCCTCCAGGCATAGGAACATTTTGCTCATACACTCAACCCAAAGGGCCAATGGCTACTCCCTCCACCCATCCATGTCTCTGTCCCAGGCCCCATCTCTCAATGGCTGGAATCTTCCCCACTCCTCAGCTGCCCAAGTGCACCAGTCTGCCCTCAAAGGGTTGGGTGTTTGGAGATCAGATCCTCAAGGGCCAGTGAGATGAGGCAGGGGCCTCCAAGAGCCTGCATTTCTATTCATGACAGGTTGCTGTTACCTCAGGAAGTCACCCAACTTCTCCAGGACTCTTGTTTTCCATCTATGAAGGGGGTTGATGCCTGAGAGCATCAGGTGTCATTCCAGGTGTGCACTGAGCCAGGGCAGCATGCCCCATGCTCCTCTCAGGACATGCAGCAGCAGCAGGTGGAATATGCCACAGGTGGCCCCTGCATGTGCAGGCATTTGCACTGCAACTCCTGATGCTGAGAAGCCCTCATGCTGGGATGTAGTGATTCGCTGTATGGTCAGGCAGCACCATGGTGTGATTCATAAATGACCCAGCAAGACAGGCTCACAGAATATGGGAGATCCCAGGGCACTTAGACTGTCTTGGCATTTTGAGTGGTTGGTGCCTTCCCCAAAATGCTGTACTGCTGCAGAAGGGCATTACTTTGTTTTATGCACCAGGTGCGTGGGGCTGTGGCTTTGGCCCTAGCATTGCCTGCAGCCCTTGTGCTTGCCTGGGTGTATACTGCAACCCAGGGGCTGGTCCTACTACAGAGTCCCACCAGGCAGGGTACAGTGCTTGGAACCGGTGCAGTAGTTAGAAGGGCAGTGCTACCACCACGTGTGGTGCACAGGCAAAGCTGGAAGCAGTGGGAAGCTGGACACCAAGAATATTGAGCGACCAGTTTCCTGGGACTGGGGAGGGGTCACAGCCAGCTAGGGGGCTGCCCATTGCACAGCACGGAGTACCAGGCTGCTGCTTTCCACACAAGTGATGGCTCACACAGGCACTGTCACAGGCCCTACCCTGGGCATGAAGCAGTGGCAAGAATACCTGCCCCTTGACTGTACCTGCCCCATGGCCAGATGTGGGTGGGGATGGGCTCTCCCGGGGAGCTGTGTGACTAAGTGTGAGCCTTATTGTGCTAGTGAGGCTCTGCCCTCCCTGGGCAGGAGTCACTCTTCAGCGGTGCAACAGCTGAGCCTGAATGCAGCACTGGGTGCCCCATGCTCACCTGCAGCCCCTGTCCACTCCCTTCAGGATCCAGCCCACCATGTGTGGAGACAATCCACTCCCAGAACCAGCCAAGCTTCTTTCTTGCTCCCAAAGAGAATGCAGGCCTGGGACTGTGATTTCTGGGAGTTAGGTGTAGCACCCAAGGTCTCAGGCACATGCTCAGCTGAGGCTAATGTCTGCACTGCATGAACTGGGTGCAGCACCTGGGACAGAAAGCCTGGGAGTGGGCAGTGGTGGCACCAACAGGAGACAGGCTGAACTAGCCAGCCCCCAGGCAGAGACCTGCCTGAAGTAAGGAAACCACAAAACACAGAAGGGACTTGCTGGAGGGAAGAAGCCTCCCAGCTTCCTGAAGGCCTCAGCCCACACCTGTGTGGATGCTGCCTCATGGTGCCAGTGCATTGCAGATGTGGCCTGAGTTGGCTATGGAGGAACATACATCACTTCTTCCTTCTCATTTCCCTGTGACGTGAAGTTTTTGTAGCTGGAGCTGCCTGACTGCACAGGCCCCTGCTCATATCACCTGCCCTGGGGTGGCAACCTGCCCACCCTGACACCAAGAGGAAGGCTAGTGCAGAGGTCCCAGGCAACATGCTGGATCAATCAGGCATCCCTGTGTGCACCTCATGCATTGCTGCCCTGGGGACTGAGGGCCTTCTGCCCACCAGGTCACACACTGCTACTCATAGCTCTTCTTTGTCCTTGGATAGTTTCTGCATGGGACAAACATTCACAGTATGAATATGAGCCAGTTGTGTTGATGCTGTAGCCAGCAGGGCAAATAACACTCTGGCATGCATCAATTGATGCTTCTCCAGCCAAACCAAAGAAGTGATTCTTTTGCTCTACTCATCATTGGTGAGATCACAGCTGGAGTACTGCGTCCAGTTCTGGGCACCACACTTTAACAAAGATGTGGTAAAGCTTGAGACAGTCCAAAGAAGGGCCACCCATATGATGAGAGACTTGCATGGCAAACCATACGAGGAAAGCCTGGGGGACCTGGGACTCTTCAGCCTGAAAAAGAGAAGGCTGAAACGGGACTTGGTAGCAGCTTACCGCTACACCAGAAGAGCACATCAAGAGCTCGGTGAACAACTGTTCACCAGGACACCCTTGGAGAAAACCAGGCGTAATGGCCACAAACTCCTGGAAGACCATTTCAGGCTCAACATGAGGAAAAACTTCACAGACAGGGTGACCAGACTGTGGAATAAGCTTCCTCCAGAGGTGGTTCAATTGCCTACCCTGGAAATCTTCAAGAGGAGACTGCATGGTCACCTTGCTGTCATCACCCGACCCCAGTTATCTTTCCTGCTTGGTGCAGGGGGCTGGACCCGATGATCTTCTGAGGTCCCTTCCAGCCTTACAATCTATGAAAGCCACAGACATATGCAGGGAGCGCAGGCCATGCAGTGAGGCATGCAGGTGACTGGCACAGAGCGGGATGCATATTACCTGCTGGCTGGGACATTTCCCTCCAGGATTTGGTGGCAGCATGTCAGGCAAGAACAGGGGTCAGGAAGGGTCATGTGAGCAGGCACAGGCCAGGTCCTGGGGAACTGCCCTCTACGGGCAAGGAAGCCTGTCCCACATGCACAACGCACTCTGCCTGTGGAGACCTGGCCTGACTCAAGGTAGTCCATACCCAAGGGAGCACAGCATGAGCTCCACAGGAAAGCAAGCTCCAGGACTATCCCAGTGGGGCACAGCCCTTAGTGCATCCAGTGGCTGCTGGAACCAGTCAGGGTCTGAGCAGAAAAAAACAGAGACCCAGTATGGGATGCTCATTTCCCAAAAGTACTGGCAGTGGGTGTCCTGGAGTAGGCAGCCCCTTAATGAGAAGGTCATGTATCACCCCCACAGCCCTTGGGCTGGGCATCTTCTCTGGGGCTCCTGCTCTATGCCCTCCCTTCTTAAGGGCCTGACTTGGGACCACCAGGACAGAAACTTGTCACTTGCTCCCTCCTTCCACTGCTAGCCAGAAGGTCCCTGCTGGGATCTGTCAGCACATGGCGACCCTTAGCTCCAAGGTGGAGCACAAGGAGCAGTGGCCAGCAAGCCCATCCTATATTCTGAAGAGTGCCACCTGGACAGCCTGGAAAGGCCACACTCAGTCCTGCTACAAGCAGCTGAGTCTCCACCAGACCAATGGAAAGTGCCTGCTTGCAGAAAGGCTTAACAAGGTGCATGGACGTCCTGCTAGGGCTGCGCATGCCAAAGCCAGGTGCTTCTCCTGTTTGGGCATGGGTAGGACCCCAGGGGAGAGAGCCCTATAATAGTCCCCTTACCCCAGACCAGACAGGATTTTGTTCTTTGGTCTGTATTTTCTGCACCAGGTGGGGCTCTTCAAGCTGCCTGTTCAGCCAGAGGCCCTAGGAAGCAGCAGGGAGCTGGACCCCCAAGCAGCATGCAGTGGGCACTACTCTGGACCTCTCACCTGGCTCTCCACGAGCATTGCCATGTCCATGAACATGTCATGCAGCTCCCGGATGCTGTTCTCCAGCTTGATGATCTCACTGTGCCGCGTCTCAATCTCATTGAGTGCCTGCTTTGTGATGTTCGAGTCCATGATGATCTGTTGGGAGAGGAAGACAGGGATCATGCATCTGGCTCTTGGGCCCTACCCCTAGGTAGCCTCCCTGGTTCATGGGCTCACTCTGTAGGGAGCCCTCTGGGTGTGGCTCTGCTGTCAGTGGGTGACACAGGACACTCCCTGTGTGCTGTGAGGACCTGACCAGGTCATGCAACTTAGCCAGTTCAGGCCACATTGACTAAAGGCATAGGCCTGTGCACGAAGGTTACAGACACCAGAGGTGACAGACACCAAGGTGCTAAAGGACCTGTAGGTAAGCACTAGTGCCCAACTGGCAAGGGTGGGTGCAATTACAGTGCTTTCCAGCAGAGCATGAGCAGCTGGGGCTGATGGATCGGAGGTTAGCTGGGGTGACATAGGGCTGGCTACATGATCAAAGCAGTGTGGAGTGCCAGAGCAAATAAATCAATAAATCCAAGGCAGGGGAGAGGAGGCTGTGAGGGAGAGTGGGGAGTACAGACACAGAAGGGTATGCAGCAAACAGATTCTATGCTGTGCCCATTCATTTTAAGTCAATACCACCTGGGCACATATTTTACAGCAGGACTGCTCTTTGGCTATGGAAGAGATGGTGGCCAGGGAACAATCTGACTATAAAAGAGCTTTCAACTGACTCAGCACTAACCATGATTCATGTAATTGCCCCTACATGGCTAATGTTGACTTATAGCCATGGCAGGGACTTGTGCTCTGTCCCTGCAGTGAGCCTATCTTGTCCCACTGACCTTAACACCGGCTCTCTAGAACAGACTGGACCCACTAACTGGACCTGGGGAACAAAGCTGTCAGCCCCCCCCGCCATTCCCTGACTTCAGGCTGAGGCCACTCCCTGCCTGCCCTCTGAGGCACTGGGATAGCTGCCTAGGCTTTCCAGCACAAGCTCTGAGACTAGACTCATAGATGGTTAGTCAGTTTGGTGGGTGCAGATTCATATCCTCCCTCAACACATGCTTGTGCTGTGAAGAAAGCTGCTTTGTGACTACATCCATCGCGGGTGGTGGGGGCTGCAATAGGTCCAAGCCTGGCATGTGCTCCTAGCGCAGGTGCAAACGGCAGGGCAGACTCCATCAGGTGGATGGTCTGGGTGTCGCTGTACACATGTCTAGTTGTCAGAATCTTCCCCTAAGTTGTCTTAAAAGTCTGAGATTGAAGCTTGGGTTTGAGACCCAGCAAAATGCCTGTGCACCTACCCCAGAGGAGAAAATGGCTGGATTTCCGCTCTCCAGCATGTCTTCCAGCTCCTCACTGGTCGTAGTCCTACCAGCTGCAAAGAACATCGAGAGGTCAATCATCAGGAACTAACTGGGGCTCCCCAAATGCCCCTTTCCTCAGCTCCATGCAGTTGTGGGCTAGATTCAAACACAAAGGGCCAGATGCACCTTGCTTTAGCAGCAAGCCTGCATCCAGTGGTTTCTTGAAGAGGAAAGCAAATGAAAGTGTTATTAGTAAGCTCTTCAGAAGACCTCCCTGGCAACTGACTGGCCTTGTGGTATGCCACACAAGGGGCCAAATCCTTTACCTGGAAGGAGGTAAGGAGCATGTTCCCAACAGCTCCAAGATTGTAATCTAGGGTTCAGCTGGTGGGAAGGATTGCTGGAGGTAGCATCACTGGTGGGAAGCATCGCTGGAGTGAAGCATCGCTGGAGGTACTCATTCAGACCCAACTTCCCACCAGCTGAACCGTGGCTACAACCCTGGTAGTCCTAGCTTATACTGCCAAGGATCTGGAATCAGCTGAAGGGCTTGTGTTGGAATAGCCCCACACTCCTTTAGCCAACACCACCGCTGGCTCCTTGGCTGCCAGTTACATCAGAAGTGTTCAAAGAGAGCTCACCTTCCATACCACCAACAGGCAGAAAGCTTCTCGGTATAGAGGCTGCACTCAGCCTCTCAGCTCAGTGCCCTGGGTTTCTCGGTGTTTCTAGCAGACATCTCTTATGCTTAGTGAGTGAATTGCAGAGGCCTGGCTTCCTGGTTCCCCTCAGGCCTGTCCCCTAGGCAGGAGGGGCCGGGGGCTCTAGGACGGGAGCTGTCTGATGTGATCTGTGGGCTGCTGGCCTTGCCATTTCAAGTGTTTTCTAGGTTCAGGGCCTTCTGTGTCTCCCTGCTGGTGGTGGCGATGTGGAAAGCAGGGCCTGTTTCTGCTGCGAGAGAAAAGCGTTTCTCTACAGGAGGTGGAAAGATGCTATGATCTTCAGGAAGCAACCTAGTCAAGAGGGTAGGAGCTGAGGACACTGGGACCAGGATGTCTAATGGGGCTGAATTAGTTACTCAGATTTGCATGCCACCCCTACTTCCCTAATCACAGAGGAGCAGGCTGCAGAGGGGCACAGGCCACTTCAACACATGTCCCCACCTGCTCACTGGTCACTCTCCCCTGTGGCCTTTCTCTAGAAGCAGAAGAGCAATTATCCTTAATGCATGACTAACCCCCCTCCAGGTGCCAGCCTGCAGGGCCTGCTCACCTTGCTCTTCAAGAGGGGAAGGGGTGGGTGCAGTGAGTCTCCAGAGTTCATCTGCATCAGTGCTTCTCTGGCCCTGATAGAGGGTGTCAGAGAGAGCCGGGCTGGTGTTCTTGGCAAAATAACGTCCAGTTCCATCACAGACCAGGACTGAGCAAAGGCTGGTATTCCCAGGTCCCATTTCAAAGCCTGCATCTCTGACTTTATAACCAGCAATTTTTAGGCACAGAAAAGCTGTTCTATAATCTTTCAACTAAGTGTTAAATCGGCTGATTGTCTTCCTCTGAGTTCTGCGCTGCAAAGCACAAGGTAGGCAGTTACAGCCTTGCCCCATGGGGCAGGAGGAACCATTGGGGAGGGGGTGTCTCACTTTATTGGACATGCTGGAGAGTACAGCACTCACAGAGCCCTCCTGGGCCTTGCCTCTGCCTTGCAAGCACAGGGTGATGTGTCTCTCTTTGCATTGCCTTCAGCCTCTCCTCTCCCCTTCATCTCCCCATGGTGGATGCTGCTGCAATATCTCCCTCCCTCCTTCCCTCCCACCACTTACATCCTTATTTTTCTGCTTCAGCATCTGCCATCTGCTTCTCAAGCTCCCGCTCACCCCTACCTATTCATATAGATACTCCCACACCATGGAGGCAGTGTGATACATGTACAGGACACCTACCCATGGCAGGACAAACCTACCAGCCAAAGCCCAGTAGTAAAGACTGAGGGAGGTTGGTCCAACCAAGGATTGCTGGGCTGGTTGGATTCTGCCCTCCCTGGCACAGCTCACAGGCTGCCTCACTTGTAGTCTCGCAAGCAGGTGTCTGATAAATGGGGAGCCTCCTCCTCGAAATGCCCCTGGCTGCTGGAGGAAGCTAGAAGAGTCCCTCTCTTCCTGCTTCCAAGCAGTTGGCTCCCATCTGTGCCTGCCCAGCGTCTCAGCCCCTCCAAGCAGGAAGTGGTCAAAGCATCATGTACTGCATCTTCTCCATGCTGGACTGTTGCAATTGGTGGCATGTGCCCCAATAGCTTCTTATGCATTTCAGGATGAAGTCCAAAGGCTAGACTGATCTATGAGGTTCTTACAGCCAGGTAGCTGGTGATATCAGACACCTCTTCTACATCAAGCCCTGCTAAGTCAACCCTACTCTACAAGGATATTACTAGGGAGAAAAGCATTGAGGGCAGAGCATTCTCCATAGCAGAAGTACCACGCTCACAGTATGTCACAGATCAAAATGCTCAACCCAATGAGCATCCAAAGATGGTCAAGACATCGCCCCAGGCATAGCAGCCAATCAGACTGGCTTGGTTAAGACATACTAGCTTCTGTAGCCAAGGGCACACAAGGGAGCAATGTGGCTACCATCGCATCTGACCACCTTAGATTCCCCAGCCCAAATGGCCAGGTACCATTTACAGTTGGGTTGACAGGGTACAGCCTTTGGTATGGGTCTGTGGCAGGGTTCAAACTTAAGCTCCTGAAGTCATAGCAAGACACCTTAACTTCCTTTGCTGCTGCTCCCAAAATGTGCATCCTGACTGGCATGAAAGGGCCTCATCATCCTTACAGCCTTCCCCAAACAAGTAGGTCAATTCTGAGCCCAGAAAGTAGGAAGAATCATCTTGTGGAACTACTGGTCCTTTCACCAGATTGTATTCAGTGCTTGAGTCAACAGTGGTAGGTGCCAAAGAAGACCCTAAAGTAGAGATACAACTGACTAAACCAGGCTGCTGATCGGACAAGGGAGACAGCACGTGGCACATGCAGCAGAACTCATGACTTTGATGGCAATCCTTTGCTGACCAGCATGGAGGTCATTGTTCTATGCTAAGCTCTGGGGTGGCAAAGGAGGCAGGTCTAAACCATGGCTGCTATTTTAAATGAAAAAGAATTGCAGTAAATGAATTAATTCAGAACAAATTGCCTGTAAAGAGCTTGCCACATGCTGCATTTCAAATGCCTAACTTCAGTCAACTCTCTATGTATGAAATGCAATGGAGAGGTTGTAAACACTCCTCCACTGTCCCCCCGACTCCACCACTTCCTCCTGGATTTTGCAGTATCTGCTGTCATACAAACAACCGGTATTACTGTCATTGATGTATTTCAGCACTGCCTCTTCTACGGGGTCCAGTTCTCAGGTGAGGGGGAAAATTCCCACATCTACACTACAGGCCAGTGTGGGTGTGTACCCTCCTCCTGTGCACTGGCCCTAGGAGCTGCGCTGGACAGTCTGCAGACTTGTTTAAACTATGAGGTGTTAAGAGTAAACCTTTCACCTCTTTTTCAGTTTCAATCCTCTGTATTGCCGTATCCTGATTCCAATGTTGATGAGTGTTTCTGCAGAGATCAAAGCGGGATACTGGGCCCTGACAGATTTGGGTATAAACAGAATCACCAAATGAAGTGCATCAGCTGTATCAGGATGTATCCTGGCACAGCTAATCCGCTTCATTGGGTGACACTGTCCTGTTGTCCTGCAGGGTTGCGCCCTTGCTGCTCTCAGGAGTAGCCAGGGCTTGATCGTGCAAGAAAATCATCAGGGTGCACCTCGCCAAATGGGGGAACCCCAGGTTTTCCCATTAGCAGAGGAGTGCCTACAGGATCCTTGGGCACACCTCTGCAATCAGGGAAACCCTGGGTTTCCACATTTGGAGAGACACATGCCCAGGAAATCTGACTTGGGCATGCCTCTGCAAACAGGGGAACCCAGGCAGACACTCCTGGGGCTTCAGGGAGCCAATCGTGGGTGCCCTGGGAATAGGGATTCCTGAGGCATACAAGACTGGGACACTGCAATCCTGGGAGCACCTGCCTGGGGCAGCTGGAGAATGCAGGTAGCTCCGGACCGCTCATTCTCCCACCTTAAAGCAAACAGATATTCACTGCAAAACAGTGGCACAACTTCATACCGGCTATGTCACAGACACAAATATTGGGCATCTGTGGCACATCAAGCGGCATGGACATCTGTTTGCTTGGCCTTTGTGCTTTCATAAAAATTTTATGGTGGCACAAAGGCAATGTCTGTTTCTACCCTTAGAAGAAATGCAAAACAATACTGATCCTGAAAGCAAATGCAAGCACCAGATGGCTGGGAAGCTGAAGATGTATAGCAAGCCCTCCTGAACTGATTTAGCCAAACTCCTAGCAAACAGGTAGCTATTTGTGTTCCCTGGTGACTGACAAAGCCAACCAGCTAGTTTAGGTTTTTTAGATTCCAAATGGATGCCTAAAAATGTGAGAAGAGCTAAATTCCATTAAATTCATGCAGCAACACAGAGAAAAAGGAGATGCTAATGACTGTGCAACTCATTTTGCAATAGATTGTTGAAGTTCTCTCAGATCTCATCAAGGATTATAATCCTTCTGACATCTTTAATGCTGTTGAGGCTGGTTTGCACTGGAAGATTATTCCAAGGGAACATCATTTAAAGACTTGGACATAACAAGCTCTAAAATAGAAAAAAAAGGGTGACTCTACTGATTGCTGCGGTGAAAACTAGAGCCATTGGTTACTGGAAAGAGTAAAAAACCCCAGTGTAAAATACAAAGAAATCAACAGTGTCCTATGAATCAAATGAGAACGTTTGGATGATAAGATTTATGGAGAGACTGGCTGAGAAAAAAAAAGATGGCTTAATGAGAGCAGGAAACAAAAAGAGCGAATTCTAATATGTTGTGAGAGCTATGCAGCCCACAAGAGAGTGGCATTTGATTACCAAATCCAGCCTCTCTTTCCTGCAACCAAATGCTGCATCCCTTATCTACATCAAGGCATCATTGAAAGCCCCAAGAAACAATACG